AATCCAACCATTTTTCTTAACCTCTTGCACACGCTCGTAGAGTTAGTTGGATTTCGACCACTGCAACCTCGTGCAATAGGCTGCTTGAAGTGGCGCGATAGGTCGTGCTTTCGTTTAATCTCGTACATGATCAATATGCTCCTCGTGGTAGCGGTTCGTCGACCGATTCGAGTGGTCGTGCCTCAATACAAAGCACCAGTTGCTTGCCGCCAGCATTGCGACGGCCCGTGAGCAAACGAGCACGACGCCGTGTCCCTACAGCGCGTATGCATCCACGGCACAACGCTGCACCAGTGGCCTGGGCCTCCCCACTGTCTATTGCATCGTCGACAAGAGCTGCTCGAAAGCTAGTACTACATGCCATCAAAGTCCAACAGTCCATTCTGTGTCTTATCGATTCTCAGCCTCTACAACGCGAGCGCCGTGACACCAGACGCCTCGAGTGTGTTGACGCTCCAGATCAAAAGTACAAACTGGCGCGTCAGAGGTTCCACAACAGCGCTCTCGTTGTAGACATTCCCACCGCATGCATTGATGAGCTGCCTGTCGTGCCGCACATGGGTGCTTCTCGCGCCAACCACGACGTCGGCCTTATCCTCTTGGTCTATAGCAACTTTTCAAATGCGTCGATTCGGTCGGTCGGCAACTTGGCGTCGGCCAAAGATGTCCAGAATTCGTTCTACTGTATACCAATGGATAAGAACCATCTCGACGGTTCTTATTGTAATAATTAAGGGCATTTTTGACAATGACACGCCTCTGGATCTGTCCGGAACCAAGTGGCCCCCCAAGCTCACTGACATGTACGACGACAAGAGCTGCGAAAAGGACGTTGCAACGTGCACTCTGTACTAGTACCAACACATCGCTTGGCATGGCCACGTACCTGTACGTCCACGACATTTGCCCGCGAATTTGCGATTCTTCTCTCTACCGTTGGGCTAAAAAAGTGATTTTACGGCCAACAACATGACCCGCCTCGAGCACCTCGACCTGCGCAACGCGTAGCGAGCGTCCGAGCCTCATTTTCTCAATGTCTTTGCGATGCATGCTCTGTAGGCTCTTTAATCGCAATCCGATCTCGCGGCTCGTCAACGTGAGTTTTGAAAGCCGTTTGGAAACGCTATATGCATCGAACGTACGTGTGCGATACCTTAAGAATTAAACTGTAGGGACTTGTTCACGGCCACGTTCACAACTTTCCTCGTAGACCCAGCCACCTACGCTATCTTGCGCCACAAGAGTGTCTCGATTGACTTTGCGTGTGCATCGCCCAACACGCTCCAGACGCTTGTGCCCGAAGGCGTCGACCCGAAGACGGTCAATGTCATGCGTGCCGCCTCGTTCGTCTGCGTCACACCCAGTACGCTGTCTATGGAAGCGTAGAGTAGTCTTGAGAAACCGCCACCAACTTCGGCCATCGTAACGCCGGCGCCAAGTGCGTCGAGTCTCAATGGCGGTGCAATTGCAGGTATCCTTGTGGGAAGCGTCGCTGTCTGCGCGCTCCTTGCTGTTTGCATCGTCCAGCGCCGTGCGGCCACGTACACCCTGTCACCCACGCATGATCGGTTGGACATGTTTTTGTAGACAAAAGAACCACGCGTCCGACTACCGCACGTTTGACGACGATGGCGACACCACAACGGGTCCGCTGGGCACAAAACAAGCTACGTTTGAGGTCGTATTTCCTCCATACGACGTGTTGGTGCGAGCTGTACGATATGCAGGCGCTCAAGCTGCTGCGGCTGGACCACGCGCAGCTGGTGCAAACGACCTTTGTTGTTGTTGAAATGGGTCAATTAATTTTTAATGAGCAGAGCTCGCTGGAAGAAATTGTCTCATCTTGGCCTGTTGTTGGAGCACAAACGACCTTTGTTGCGGAAGGTGCGTTTGGTCAAGTGTGGGTTGGAACGTACCAAGGTGGGTGTTCTCGTGTTCGTGCCACGAGGGCACGCTTGTGCTAGAGCAACCGGTGGCCATCAAGACACTGTTGCCGGGCAAGGCTCGAGCGCTGCCATTACCAATCTCGCGGATGAGATCCTCCTCGCCTTGACGTATCCTCGAGGAAATTGATGGTGGGTTGCAACTTGAGAGGTGTAGGCTGCAGAGTCCCTACATTGTGCAACTCCTCGGCGCGAGCTGGCGCGTGCGCTCCGAGCTGCAAATGGTGCTCGAGTGGATGGACCGCGGCGACCTCCGCTCGGTACTCCAAGCCACGGCGCCGTCTACGCCCAGCGGAGCGTCGACCACCTTTTGCTGGCCCCAAAAGATCGAGTGCATGCGCTGCATCGCCGAGGGCCTAGTGTTTTTACACTCGATGGACATTATTCACCGCGACCTCAAGTCTCGCAACGTCCTCCTCGATGCCACCAGGGTCTCCTTATGGCTCGAACATGCCCATCTCAACACATGGGGCAAGGGTGCAAGCCCACCGACTTTGGCGCGTCGCGGGAAGCCACGACCGAGACTATGACGGTCGGCGTTGGCACGTATCGTTGGATGGTACCGACTGCGTTCTTGCTGCCAACATTGGAGGATGCACGTGGCCGTAGGCAACCACTACTCGACGGCGGCCGACGTATATTCGTTCGGGATGGTGGTCACGGAGCTGAGCACGCACGAGATTCCGTACTTTGACCAAACCAACAAAAAAGGTAGATTGGAATGCGATGCAACGACGACGCTGAACGAGGCGATAGGCCGACTGCTCGTGGACACGGCAATCATGGCTCGGGTGATAAACGGGTCGATCTCGCCTACGTTTGGGGAAAGCATGCCGCCGTGGGTGTGCGCTTTGGAACGCCAGTGTATTGCCCAAGCACCGGACGATCGACCGACCGCAATGGAGATCGCGCACACGATTCGTCAGCAGCTGTAAACACCAGCAAAACCTGCTCGAGCACTGGATAGACATATTGTATTTGTTGGTCTCTGGAGCAAGGACGACTACAGAGTCATGTGCAGTGCACGGGCAAGCGCGCGTTATTTTGTCCACGGACAACGCCAACCGTCCGTCGCGCAACCCTTTCGCAGGAATTCGGATCCGTGTCCATGGCTGCGAATTGCAACTTGAAGCCGTTGGTCGACGTCGCGTCCCGCAGCCCCCACGTTGTGATCGCTGCCACATCTACTTGTGCATTTTCGAGAAGAAGGAACAGGAAAAGTGCCCCGTCTCAACGCCGACACGAGACCGTTGGAGCTGCTTCTTCGGTGGATTGACGTCAGATTGGAATTGGCTTTGGAGTGATCATGTCGTTCAACTTGGCCCACGACCGCAACGTGCTC